TAATATTTCATTTCAGTGAAGCAAAATTTAATTACATCATCTTAATTTTTAATATTCCAATTTTTATAGGTTACACATTCAACATTAGAAGATACCTTCGTGTGTAGCTGCATGACTTTTGAACATGTTGGCCTTTTGTGTAGACACATTTTTTTGTGTTTTTAAATATTACAGTCGTGTTGAAATTCCATCACGGTACATATTGAAACGTTGGAGAAGGGATGTCATTCTGACATAATTACTTAAAAGGAGATTCTCGAACTCCAAATATGACTTACATACCGACAAGCATGCCATTGAAAAATTTTCAATTGTTGATAATTGTGTATCAAGTTTGAGTCATGATCCTAAAAAGTTACAAGCATATCTCGATGATTAGCATAAGTTGAAGAAAAAATATATAAACAATTGTCCATCAAATGAACTTCCCACCAGAGACAATTACTATAAGAACCTTCTAAAAGTCACTATTCCTGATGTGGTGGACACTGAAAATCCATCAGATAGTCGGAACAAAGGTTCTGGCAGTAGAGGGAAAAGATTGAAATCTAAGAAAGAAATGCTTCAACTTCAAGGATTAAAACCCAAGAGATTATGTGCATCATGTCAACAGATGATTAATCATGACAAGCGAAATTGCCCTCTTAAGAATAAGGATAACTAGTTTACAATGACATTATTTTATTCTTAATTTCTTGTTTTTTTTGCTTAATGAACTATTGTTAAAATTTTTCCTTTTCCTTTAAACTAACACATATTTCAATTTTTTTATTCATTTTACATTCATTTAGAATTATGTTTACTTTTTTAGTTAATGAGCAATTTACCATCATTTTAATAGAATACAATTTAGATTTAATATAACATATATGCCAATATAATGTTAGTTCCAAAGTTTGATGTCTACTATAAACTAGCAAACAATGATGCCTATATTAAATACAAAATCCAATTTAAGTCAACTTTGGATCATTCTAACAGAAAACAAAATACACTTTTTTATATTGAATACCAATTTAACATGTTTCAATTTTTCATCAATCAATTACAATACACATACTAACCATTTCAAAATAACAAAAGATGATGTCTACTCCAAACTATCAAACTTTGAAGCATAGTACACCGAAGCCAGATGCCTATGATAACGAGGATTATAATCAAAATACAATTTACATTCTAATATTGACATAACATCATTCTAACGGAATATATGAATTGCATATTTCATTCTACCTATGTGACAACCCAAATTCTATTCCGTTATATAAATTCCGTTTCCGCTAAAGGAATACGTCATTTTATAAAAGTTCCGTAATTTGGAGTCGTCAAATAAATAAATATTTATTTATTTATTTATTTATCTTTCATGTGATTATTATCTTAGTAAAATAAATATAACCTGTTAATGTTATTTCCATTTAACGAAATATAGTTATATTATTTTTCAACCATTTAACCCGAGTAAAAAGTTTAAACCCCGTCAAACTTTAGCATCGGGTAGTCGTATACCGGGTGCAATACCCGAGGCCTATATAAGGAAGGTGGAACACCTCCTTGAACTCTTTTACCACTCAAGCACCACTCTCTCACTACTTTCTCTCTCTAGCTCGTTCACGGCTCCAAAAACCGCAAATTCCGCCTCCAAAACGTAAGATCTTCTACCCTAACTCGTTCTAAACATCATTTATTGTTGCATTAGCTCAAAAGTCACACAATATGGCCATCAAAAGGGAGTTTACGGCCTAAGAATCTCCTTAGGGCGTAAACACCAAAAAGGGTGCCAAAAGTCCCGATTTTCCTTCTTTTGAGCTTAGATGCTAGTTAGGGAATTTACCTAGGGGTGTTTAATCATAAAAACAATAATTTTTAGGGCATAAAAGAGGGTTTACGGACCAAGCACATGCTTAGGCCGTAAACACCCTTTATCCATGCAAAAATGCCCCAAACACACTTCCAATCATGTTAGACTTGAGATATGACCTAGGGAGCTTCCATTGCGAGTTTGGGACAATTGAACAACATCATTTGAGGGGTAAACTAGAGTTTACGGCCCAAGCATATGCTTAGACTGTAAACTCCCCCAAACGATGTCAAATGATAGTTTAAGTCCCCTACAAGGCACTATACCTTCACTAGAAATAGTTGGAATTGAAACAAGGACCTTAAAATCAAAGATTTGGGGGTACACAAGATTTCACGATCTAAGACATGAAGATTACGGCCGTAAAATCCCACGGAGTGGCCTTTGGGTCGTAAAATCCAAGGGAGTAAACTCTTGGACCCTTAGACACCCCCCTTTGGCCTTGTAAAATCTCCTAGAACCACATCTATATGCATATGAGACTAGAAAGCATTCAAAACACTCCTCCCATGAGTTTACGGCCATAAACTCATGGGGGATGTGGCCTCCCAACCGTAAACTCACTTAGGGTGGGTTTTAGGAGAGTAAACTCCAATGTGAGGTCATACACTCCTTCCATACAACTCATTAACCCTCTAGCACTCAACCATAAGACCTGTAATCACACTAGGATGTCTATATGTTTTAATAAGAGATTAAATCACTAATTACTTGTAAAAATATGTATTCATATGTTACTAGGATCATAAAGGGTGTACAAGTCCTTACTTGACACCAAACGCTCACCCGACACTCATACCCGATCTACTCACTTCAGGTGAGTTCATACCCCTTTATGAACCTTTTAAATGTTATTTACATGTTTTAGGGGGGGGGGGGGGATACAAGTACATAATAACTTGTTTTACTATCAAATCATATGTGACTTACAATCTATCATTGTAAAAGGATTAACCTACAATTTTAGAAACTCATCAATAAAACTGTTTTAACTAGTTATCAAATGCGTTTTTAAGGTTAAATTGTTGTTAAACTATTTCAAAACTATATTTCAACTACTTTTATTTTAATAAAATATATCTATATTAATATATTTATATAAATAAGACTTGAAGGACTTAGGATCGATACCTGGCCTTATTTCCTGTTCTTGTTTGATGTGGTTTTAGGGTATTGGTTGTCCGTCCGACTGTCGTTGAATTCTTAATTATATATCATATATATTTGTGTTAGATGTGCATGTTTTTATCTTATTCATCACTACTATTGATCAGAAGTAGGAATTCACATGCTCTATTTAACTATAATAGGTATAGTTAAGGCTACCACTAGTTATCTCTACTACTGTTATACACACCATAAACCATTAACATTACAAGCTAATGCAAGTATAAGAGAACACTCTACTTACTATACTAAAAGTCTATCATACTAAAGTATAAGAGAATTCACTAATACTAAGTATATCACACTATCTCTCTATAAGGTACTCTACTGTACTTTCACCATGTGACCAGGGCTTCCCGAAAGAGAAGCAACACTATATGTATAGATCTATACGGAACAGACACTATTACATCCCGACTGTTAGCTACAGTCAGAGCCGACTAGGCCAGGGGAGACACTACATTACTTCACTACGCATGACCGGGAAGGTCATCGGTACTCTACTACTTCACAATTGGTCACATGAGAAGTTATAATTACATCTAAAGAAATACACTAAGACTTAAAGTCTGAACTAAAATCCCGAAGTAATCAAATAGCTATTACTAACTAAAGTTACGACACTACTACTGTTAGCAAGCATAACTTTTCTTCAGCTGCATTATTTACATAAGATTTATTACTACACTTTTACAATTGAAGGTTTCAACAACATACTTTTACACACTCGAAGGATTGACTTACAAATGTACTTTCTGGAAAATATAGGATTTTCTAGGGATTTCTATTACTCATAAATACAAATTTCAGTTTTTATACTATAAGTTTGCAAACACTTTTATACTACAATGACACTAAACTCTTATGAACTCACCAGCTTTATGCTGATATTCTTTTTTAAAATAACTTGTATCCTCAGGTCAAAGATAGATAGGTACAGAGCAGCTTTTGGAGAAGATGGAGCATATACAAGACTCATCTTTTATTTTGTTATACTTTTGGTGTCTATTAAGTGTGCAGAACACAATTGTAATTATTATCACTATATATATGACATGGTTGTTGTTCCTTGTTTTTTACTATTATGCAATTGTAATGATACTGTACATGACGTCCTCCACCCCAGAACGTATTCCGCCGTTCACGGTTTTGGGGTGTGACAACCTAATTCAATAAATTCTTCACATATTCGAGTAGAATATGTACAATCACCACATCATAATTACCAATAACATCAATAGACTAGCAACAACAATTATCATACATTCTTAATTCTAATAGAACACACACACTATATTTTTTCTACCACCAATCAATGGTGCATACTACAAAAAACGAAATTCTGAATGCATACTATACCAAAATCGGATTCCTACTATATACATAGTTACAAAGAACTTATACTTTACATTAAAATATCAACTTAACATTATTCTAATATAATACACAAATTATAATTTTCAATTTTCCAAATTCATTACAATCATAACATATTCTAATAGAATATGTACATTCCCCACACACTATCTAACACAAAATTATAACTCGTCCATTTTACATTTTGTCGAAACACTAGTTACTTGTTTATTCTACCAGAAATATAACATACAAACAAAAAAGATCAGTAAATTTCAAACGATTAGAATGGTTAAACTTTTAAACACATATTATGATTAAAAACAACCATCCATATTCATCCATAAAAAAGTTTTTTAAATTCATAATAAAAAGTACTTAATACCAAACCCTTCAAAAATACACAAAACAGAAAACATACCAAAAAAAAAAAAACCAAATTTAGAACACTTAATTTAACTTCTTAATACCAAAAATAGAAAGGCTACTGAAACCACACTACAAATTCAACGTCGACGCTTTCCTCTTGTTTTCTTCCTTTCTGATGCTCATTCTTGTAGAAGTAACTCTCTTTCAAGTACATCAAGCTTTGAGAATTCAGCGCAATCCCTCTCTAGCATTTTTTATGCACATTGAATTCGGATTTCATTATTCTAGCCAAATACATGGTCCTTAAATTCATAAGTGCAACTGTATCTGCATTCCCTTTTCCTATAAAACCAGAATCCCATCGCCCTTCACCTTCTCCCATATAACTTTCCATGTGTCTCATTAGATATAATCCACAATTTGGTCCCAGTTTCGCTACATGCCAACGAATGTTCATCACATGTGGTTCAGCTCCAATTAAAGCTTTTACTTTTGAATGATTTTTACTGATAAGTAGTTGCACAACAGTTTCAACTGTCAAAATAAAATAAACATTTAATATAAAAAAGTTATATATATATATATATAGATATATATATATATATATTCAGTGATATACTGATTATAAATGGTTATATTATTGTACTATTTACTAAAACCATAGGTGTTGTTCCATATATACTATCAACGCTTCCTTTTCGGTTCACATGATCAATTATGAAGCACTTTCCTGTCCTCAGATCAAAACACACCACATAATACATATCAACATCCACTACTGGGATGAAAACCTGTTACAAACACACAAAATCTTAATATTTAATTCTAAAAAATGTGTAATAAAAAATTAATTCCACATAGCCCAACATCTTTCAAACTTGGTAACACTTTAAACTTGTTAGTGTAAACTCTCAGCAACCCATCAAACAATCTGCATGTTTCGACTCCTACATCCGATTTGTTCAAAATTTCACTAGTCTGTAACAAAAGAAAAACACAAACTTCAGTATTAAACTAAATTATTTACATTGAAATTTACAAAAATATAATGTTCATTCCATACCAGAAATTTTGTGTCCAAGAACAATCTAACTATCGATCCTTTGTCCCTGTACTCCTCCATCTTATTAAGGAATGCTGCCCAACAATCTATTATTCTAGAATGGATATACACATCCCTTTTAAAATGGTACACAAATCCTTGGTGAAAAACTTCGCCAACTCCAATATCCCAAATCGGATCCCTACATATTGAAATATATTAATAAAATTAATAAAATCAAATACTATATTACATTTAATGAGTATATAATATATTTTACACTAATCCATTATTTCTTTTAGATGTAAATATTGAAGTGCGCCTATCAATATCCTCATTCTTCAACTTAACATCAACTCTAATCACTAGTTCAATAAAAGGGGAATGAAATAAATTTGTAGATTTCTTGTCCCCTTTTCCCCTTTTACCATTATCATCTTCATTTGCAACATTGTTCAGCTCCTCCTCTAGATTTCTTCCTTCATTCGAATTAAATCCTACCATAACTATTGGATTTTCTTCTTCTTCTACACGTTTACTACTTGAAAACATCATCTCTGTTTTACTTGCCATATCTATCATTTCATCCATCACACCTGGTAACTTATAAAACTGAGTCATTGTAAGATCATCATGTGTCAATTCATTTTCCATACGTGGTTCCACATAACTACATCCTTCATCTATATCCTTTCTCTTACGTACCAAACCTCTAATAGGTGACAAATCTCCTTGATATTCAACAAGTTCTTTTCCATGGTATGGAATATCATTTTCATTATAATTCTCCTTAACATAATCGTTCTCATTAAACAACTCATTTTTCTTAATTATCCACTCTTTCAGTACTTTACTTTCAGGAAATTTTTGCAAACCATGTTTTAATGCAACTTCCATGTTACTCTTCTTTGATAGCAATTTACCATAACTGTGCTCCAATACAGCAACAAATGGCTGCAATATTAATAATTTATTTTATGAATTCTAAAAAACTAAATTAGGTAACATCAATTCTTTAAGAATTAATTACCTTATAATTACACAACATGGTATATTATAACTAATAAAACCAAATTAACAATTAAAAAAAAAACAAAAAAAAACCATAATATTGAATTCAAAACAATATTAACTCTACGTCAATGTCCCCATAAAGTTCGGATTCTTCCTCCTCTTCTTCACACCCCATTCTCTCATAATTTAGGTAACTATCTCTGAATTGCCTCCCGAACCCTCCCAACTTAATTTCCATTTCTTGTATTTGTATCAGCTTATCACCCTTAACATGTGAAATAAATGGTATCCTTTTCTCCAACTTTATATTTTCATACCTGATGTTATACACATATGAGAGCTGAAATAAAATGGATACATAAACAAAAAGTTATAAAACACTTCAAATTTTATAATTTATATTCAAATAAGCACATTTAAATCTAAAATTAATAATCAATCCCTTACCAATAACAAAGTAATAGGTCCCGAGTAGTAGCCTGTTTTGTCATCCCTTCTCCACAAATCCTTTCTAGTTTGTAGGCTGTCCAACATGTACTTATACCAATCAATCTTGGAAAAGTCCTTTACTAGAACCAACTTGTCAACCACTTTGATATTATTAGTACCACCAACCATTGACTCTATGAAGGTGTTAATGAATAGAATAAGAAAGTTCAACTTGAATATCATATTGTCTTCTTCTGTACTTCTAATATGTTTCACATATGCTTCACCTTGAAACTTCTTGTCTACATATTGTGCTTTCCATTCTTCAAGAATCTCATTACCGGTTTCACAGTAAGGCATTCTACTCAGATCATCCCCTTCCATTGGTAAATCCATCATCTTATGCACCAGCTCTTTTGTTATTTCAATCATTCCATTCTCCATCACAAGTCTATTGCTTTCTGAATCGTACACATCTAGAAGATAATATTTTAGCAACCATGGTACAACATCCACGTCTAACTTCAACAATGAACTAAATCCCATGTCATAAACTGCTTTTTTTTGTGATGCTAACAACACTTTAACGACTGCATTAATCCTACTTGTTGTCATTATTGTAGGTAGCCTTCTTAAACCTGGAGGATAGTCTCTTTCAATTTTTTTGATCTTCTCATTCACCTTCCTTACCTTCTTATTTTCATTTTTTCATCCCATCTAACCCAAATTGTTCATGTTTTCCTTTAAATTCTCTTTTTCCTTCTCGTTCTGCCTTTTCCCCTTCTAACAGAACATGCGCCTTCTCAACTTTTATCTTTAACATAAGTAACCTTTCTTCCATTAAAACATTTAAGGGACAAGGTTTTTTATTCTCTGGGGTTGATCTTGATGAGTGCTGACGTTTCTTCTTTTTCACACTTATACTTGGAATTACTATTGTTTCTGCAATCACTGCATGACAAACAACATATTCAAATCATTACATTAACATTATAAAAAAGTAATCACTTGCTATTCTACTAATATTCTTAATTAAAATATAATACTTGGTAAATAGAGCATTGTAACGATACTGAAAACTAATTAAACCAAAAACATTCTACAACATTAACCTTTATTAAAAAAAATAGTTCACCAAAACACATTAATACAAACACTACATAAATTTTCATTAATAAACAATACTCAATTCTACATGAATTTAATAAAGAAACAAGTTCCTATACACACGTTTTCTGAATTTAATAATGAATTCTGACATAATGAAATGTAATGATTTGAGTAGGTCACCAAAACAGATGAACACAAACACTACAACATTAACCTTTATCTAAAAAATAATTGACCAAAACACATGAATACAAACACTACAAAAAATTTCATTAACAATACACACTTCTATAGAAATTTAATAATGAAACAAGTTCCTATACACAAGTGTTCTGAGTTAAATATCGTCTCTGGAGAATAAACATACAAATTCTACAAGAGAAAGTTTACATCCATAAGAAATGAAACATATATCATGATTATAAACAAAAAAAAATCACTTTCAATTATTGATACTAACATTATGAAGGAGTCTATCATACCATTGAAACTACAATACTATTATAACTTCATACCACCACAAAACCCATATTAAATCTAACAATGTAAACTATATTCCCTTCGAATCTCACCGAATCCATTCGAACCTTACTGAATACATAAGAACAATATCCTAATATATGTTTCATATACCAGAATAACAAATTCGACAACACACATGACATTAAAAGGAACCCTATCGATTTAAAGCAGTTTTTTCCATGTTCGTGTAAACTACACACATGACTACAATACTATTATAACTTCATACCACCACAAAACCCACATTAAATCTAATAGAATAAGCTACATTCCATTCGAATCTCTGAATCTATTCGAATCTTACTGAATCCATAAGAACAATATTCCAATATATGTTTCATATACTAGAAAAACAAATTTAACAACACACATGACATCAAACGGAACCCTATCGAAACCCTCAAGTATCCGTAAACAAAAAAATTCATAAAATTCTCATTTTTTTTTTCAAAAAGCGTAATACCTGGAGTTGAGGAAACGAAACCGTCATCATCGTCTAGATTTAAAGTATTTTTTGCCGTGTTCGTGAACTTAGACTTCAATGAAGTCGACATTGTTGCTCTCATTCTTCTAGAAACTGTATCACAAACAAACACTATCGATCATTTTTGAAAAATCAAGTTTCATATAAAAAAGGATTAACAAATGTAATACCTTTTACGGAATTGGTTCTTCTTTCTTTAGTATAATCAATCATAAGAAACTTTGAGCTATGATAAAGACGAAGGTAGCTTTTGCTATCGTTAATTTGGGGATTCTCAAAATCTGTTACAAAATAATCTATATATTTCATAACTAGATGAAATGGTATCCGAAATGGTATTCATTCTTATTTAATACATTGTTTAAAATTTATATCTTTTTTTTTTAAAGTAAAAACAACTACTTTAATATAAGAAAAACACTTGGCACACAAACTATCCTTACATCCACACAATACTTAGAATCCACATTATAACCTAAGCCTATATATATATATATATATATATATATATATATATATATATATATATATATATATATATATATATATATATATATATATATATATATATGGTGACGTTCAATAGAGAACCAAAATTAACCAATGAACTAATCTTTTTTCTCAACTTTTAGAACTTATTTTTTTATCAAAAAAGAAAAAAAACTAAAAATACAAAAATTCATAACTTTTTATCTTTTTTCCAATGATATCAAATTCGATTTTTTTTACGTCAAATTCACTATGTGAATTTTTGAAAATTCACAACATGAATCCGGATTCACACGGTGAACCCGAAAAATATTTTTCACATTCACATTGTTAATATATGAATTTATATATTTTTTTCGATAAAGAATAAGCTCTAGAAATTAAAAAAATGATTTGGTTCTTTGAAAAACCAATAATTATGGTTCTCTATTGAACTTTTCTATATATATATATATATATATATATATATATATATATATATATATATATATATATATATATATATATATATATATATATATATATTCTTTGCATTTGGTTCTTTATATAATTTTTAAACAATAGATTAATTTGTTTAAGACGTTGGCATGTGGGTTTGTTTTTTGTTTGAAAAGAACGTTTTAAGGTGAGTAGGTGACCATCTTAGCCAAAGGATAACAGGAATTGTTTAGTTTTCTAATAGACATTAATTTTTCTTCTTGTTAATATATATAAAGCGATAGTATTTTATAAAAGCATGCACATTCAGATAATCGATTAAAATGTACATTCAAATAGAAAATCACACTACATTTTTTTTTGTTCCAGTATTTTGTATTAAGAGATATATGTATATTGTATTTTATATTTTCTTGTGATCTCTTCCTATAATAGATAGAGGGATATCAATTTATTGTATTTATACTCAATTGGATTTAATGGACAAGCAAGGGAAATACGTTTTGTATTATGATATCAAAGTTGTATACTTAAAAACCCTATTTTGCTTTTCCGATACGGCGCCTCTTCTACCGCCAATTACTCCCTATGTTCTCATCATCTTCTTCCATTATGGCGGGAACACGTAACTGATGATTCTTCTTCCTCAGTCTCCAAAACACCTTTTCACTTAGCATTCGGTGTCAACAATATTGGAAACCTAAGTCGAGTCGGACTTGGATACCAAGTAAACCTGGGAATTTGACAAGTTGGTTATAGAGTCTTAATACAATTCTATTTACAAGTTGGTAACTAGAATATATATATATATATATATATATATATATATATATATATATATATATATATATATATATATATATATATATATATATATATATATATATATATATAGACGCAATACACATCCTGTTTAGCCGATAAGGAGATATGAGATTTTAATTACAAATTGGTTTTGAGTTATTTTCCAATTAATCAAAGAAAAGTTTAATTAAATATCGTTTGCAATTCTCGTTTTCTATACTTGAATTGCTATCAGAGCCAAGAACCGAAGGATGTGAGATCAAATTACTTACCTGTTGACGAGCTAGGTCAACATGTCAGATGGAGAAGTAGGAGGAGGGGCCCCTCCGGTGAGTGTAAAGGAAATTGGATTGACCTCTGTTTAATGTCCTATGCTCACTTCTACAAACTACACAGTTTGGGCATTATGTATGAAGGTAGTATTGCGTATTCACAAAGCATGGATTGTAATAGATCCAGGAACGGAAGAAAACAAGGAGATGTATTACCTTGCAGTGGGGTTGTTCTATCAAGCAATTCCAGAGAACTTAATTATGCAAATCGGAGACGTGGAGACTGCAAAACAACTCTGGGAAGCGATCAAAATGAGACACGTGGGTGCAGATCGTGTAAAGGAGGCAAGTTTACAAACATTGATGGCAAAATTCGACCGATTGAAGATGTCTGACTCGAAATCGATCGATTCTTGAGAGATCTCATATGCCAAGAGGATAGTGGGAGGTAAATTGACCTCGAAGAGCTTCAAAAGTTAAGCGATGAAGGAACCTCTAACACTAGCGCTCACCCTGAGGATGAGACTCCTATTAAGCCAGTTGATGAGTCCTTACCTCTGAGACATTCCAGTAGAGTTAGTATTCCACCTGTATTGTATGGTTTTCATATAACAAGTGAAGGTGATACGTTTATCAAAGATAGCACACTGATAAATTTGGATGAACCTAAAAACTATAAGGAAGCCATGGCGGGCCGAGAGTCTACTAAGTAGAAAGAGGCAATGGACAACGAGATTCAGTCCTTGTATGACAATCAAGTTTGGAACTTGGTTGAAAATTTACCAGGTCATAAGACGGTCGGGTGCAAGTGGATCTTCAATAAGAAGACTGGCATGGATGGGAAAGTACACACATATAAGGCACGAATGGTTGCAAAGGGATTTACTCAAACTCCTAGAGTTGACTATGACAAGAACTTCTCAATAGTAGCGAAGATCAAATCTATAAGGGTTATGCTAGCCATAGATGTGTTTCATGATTATGAAATATGGCATATGGATGTCAAAACCACTTCCCTTAATGGGAAGTTGTTTAAGTATGTTTACATGTATCAGCCAGAGTGTTCTACAGATGCAAAGTACCCTAATAGAGTGTGTAAGTTTGAGAAATTCATTTATGAATTAAAGCAAGCATCTCGCAGATGGAATCTTTGTTTCGATGAGAAAATCAAAGAGTTTGGTTTTTCAAGAAGTAAGGATGAGTCCTGTGTATATGTCAAAGCTAGTGGGAGTATAGTTTTCTTTCTAGTATTGTATGTGGATGACATACTACTCATAGGAAATGACATTCCAACCTTGGAGGAAGTTAAGTCCTGGCTTGGGAAGTGTTTCGCTATGAAGGACCTCAGGGAAGCTACTTACATTCTAGGGATAAGGATATTGAGAAATAGGAGTAAAAGACTAATAGGACCTAGTCAAAGTATCCACTTGTATAAGGTGTTGAAACGTTTCAACATAGAGAATTCCAAGAAAAGAGAATTGCCTATCCAGAGCAAT